TCAACATATTCGAGAAACGGGAGAGGTGAAAATGGAAAATCATGGAGTGTACCAATGACACCAACGTTAGTAATATTCAACCTGTTTATCTGACCATTAAAGCATATAACTCCATACCAACCCCTGCATGCATCCGTACTTAGTGTCCATGAAGCCAATAAGGAATTATTTTGTTTTTGAAAAGTTGCTTTCCATTTGAGGAGAGCAGTTGCTTCCTCAGTGGAAGCAAAAGTAACAGTGAAGAGAGTGAAAAACTGAAGAAAATAAAATATTCTGGGAACCATCTTGAAAGCTGAAAGATTTCAGTTGTTTGTTTTGGTTATTGATGAGTAATTGTGAAGGTATAGTTTTATACTGTAGACTAGTGAATCACTACATGTCTTGCTGAGTCAATGCATTTAATTCTCAGATTGTAAAAAACGGGTAGAATTAGAACGACATGGAAGTCAATGTGTGAGTGTTCATGTAAGTATTATACCAACGAATTAGAATTAGATGGGTGTCTTAATTGTGGAAATATATTGGGAGATCATGATCTCCAAATAATATTCAAGTCATTTCGTAATTGACGAACAATAGGAAGAAATCGCGCAACTTGTCTTTCAAATAGGTTGATCTTTAATTTTTGTTCTTCAATAATCAATAATCGAACTTATACTTAGTGGACATTGTTGGATCGAAATAATCAGGTGTCATACCGAAGCTAGCAAAGCAAACTGTGACATATTATGACTAAGAAGACAAACCAGAAATATACCAAAAGACACAAATGTTTAACGTAGTTCGATCAATCAGCCTAGCTACCTCCACAAGAGGAAATAAGCAATTCACTATATAAATATGAAAGTACAAAATATCAAGACAAATAACCTCACACTATTAACTCGGGATAAAAGAGATGCATACAAGTGTTAACGTAACACCTGTGTCTCACAAATTATCCCCCTACACAAAACTTTCAAAGCCTCATGGACTATATTGTGAATGCGACTAAGTTAGAATGAATGAGCGTCTATTTATAGAGTCATAAACTTTTTCTTACAAAAAAAAAAAACTAGCTAAAAATATGGGGACTTTGTGTTTTCCTTTTAGAAAAGAAAAACTCAATTACTTACTGTAAGAAACTCAAGGCAAATACCCAATGGACATAAGCTCTTAAGTCATGTATGGGATCCCCACAAAAGTTATTTTTTATGAGGATAAAAATTAAAGACCAACACAATTTTAAAAACATAAGTTCCAATAACCATGTCGCGGGCTTTAAAGTGCAGAATGTTGCATATTTTGTTGAGGAATTTTCATAAATAGTTATGCTTTGAAATATATTTATGAATAGTAGCTATAGTTTACAAAACTACAATTCATCGAAATAGTTTTGGAGAGGAGAGAGGTGAGCAAAAAGACAAACGGCAAATATCTCAAATGTAACTTGTATCTCAATTAAACTGAAATACATTAATACGCAATCTCCCCCCCTCCCCTCTCTCTCAAATTCACAAATACACATATTAGCTTTAAAACTAAAACATTGATGCAAAGATACACATTACAAAATTTACCAGTTATTAGATAAAAATTAAAGACCAGCATAAAATTTCAAGAATATAAGTGTCAATGATCCTGTCACTGGTTGTATCATTTTCGCGGGTCATGTAGCGCAGAATTTGCAAATTTTTGTGGAAAAATTTACATAAATTGCTAGAGTTTGCACCATAATTATGAATAGTAGCTATAATTTGCATAATTACAATTCATAGCACAGAGATAGTAGGTTAAATAACACAAGACTTGTAAGTCAATGGGATTTATTTCTCAGCTTGTAAAATACGGGCAGACTTGGAACGACTTGGAAGTCATTGAGTCACTGTTCATGCAAGCATAAAAGGGTATTTCAATTGTGGGCCTAAGCCTTAAATATGTTGAAATATATTGTCAAAAATATATATACAAGTCATTTCATAATTGACGAGCTAATGGACATGCTAGGAAGAAATTACACAACTTGCCCCTTTAAAGAAGCTTATCATTAATTTTTATCCTTTATTAATCGACCTTATGCTTAGAGGGCACCTATTTCTTCTAGACGAATCTCTCAATCTATCATTATACCTCGAGAAGTAGAAAGAATTACAATTCCCATTTCACTTAAAATTCGCGAAATTCATTGATAATTAGAATAGATTTCTGTACTAGGTCGACTATAAGTTCTTTAAGTCATGTTGTAGGATGTTATGACAAAAATATAAACATACGCCCCGTGATAGGTATTTGTCATGGAAATTAAATTTAAGCCCAACACAATTTTAAGAACACAAGTGTTAATGACCCTATCAATATGTAGAGCGGAATGTTGAAATTTTTGTTCGGATGGCCCATGAAGAAGAAACGTCTCACACACATTCCGTGGTTAGGGGTGTACATGACCGAGTTAGTTCGGATTTTTCAAATCAAACCAAAGTAATAAACATATAATTAACTTGTGCTACAAATATTTCTTTAGTCCAATCAAAATACAACTATCTAAAGTGTTTCTTCAGAAATAACACAAAATATGAGATCAGTGATGACACTAAAATATTCAATAAGAAAATAATAATGAAATCGTATAAAATAAATTTTGTGAATTGATAAATCAAAATGAAAATGATCATCATTTTGAAAGTACTAAATCCTGCTAAAATAAGTCTAATTAGTATTAATTACATGATTAAACATTAAAGAAAAATTAAAATTATGTTATGACATTTTTAATGTCTAAACCAATGTAAAACTAGAACAAATATTCAACATTATTGTCATTCTTATAAGTGTTGAATTAATTTATTTTGTTAGCATTAGTATTGATTTGATTTTAAATTAAGCTTTATTAGAGTTACTAATATCTATGGACTATAATCTTTATTGGACCATTCAAAATTTTAAATTTCAAAAAAACTTGAAAAAATATGCTAAAAGATAAAAATTATGAAAACATATAAGTAATATTTAGAAATTACATCAAATTAAATACTTTTATGTGTGAAATAAATTTTAAAAATTATATATATAATGTCGGGTTGGTTTGGTCTCGGGTTAATTTTTTTTTAGTTAAAACCAAACCAACCCAAGTATAGTCGAATTTTTTTTGCAATACCAAACCAAGTCAAACCAAACCATTAGTCAAATTTTTTTCCGATTTGATTTGATTTGTTGTTTGATTCGGTTTTGTACCTCTACCCATGGTGCTGAACTTGGGGTACCGCTTGGAAGTAGAAAGACAATGAGCAGCACAAAATGCGGTATATCCGAGAATTACAAACTTCCAGCTATTAGAGATATAAACTTACCACAATGTTTACACCAAACCATGATTATTATTATTAGACACAAATCTGTAAATATTGAAAAAATACATATGCAAACAAGCCATGTATCTATTGGTTTATTATTGTAAACACCAAATGTGACAAATTCTTCACCGACAAGATTTATATGTTGGAATTCTTCAATTGGATAGGTCAGACAGTAAAAAGACTGGAAGAAATTATAAATGTCTCAACTCCATGCCTAGAAAACCTAACTACTTTCGGCAGGAATACCCATTAGTTCGCCCATACATAGGAGTGGCAATTGGATGGGTTAGATTAAATTTAGACAAGTCAAAATGGATCAAAATAATAAACGGGTCAAACCCTATTTCAACCCAACCCAAATTTGTTTAGACCAAACAAATTAGATAACTGGTTAATAATGGGTCATAACCAAACCCACACAACTTTTACTAAATTTTAATAGCTTTATTTGTTATTTTACAAGGTTTTAGTGTCTAATAAAATTATTATTTTTTGAAATTATAACTATATATAACGTACTAAATAAAAAATCAAAAATATTTTAACAAAATTTCTCAAAAAATCAATTAAGTTTCATACCAACCCAATTTTTAATGGGTTGAGCTAACCAATGAGTAGGTCATTAACCAACCCAAACCTAAAATGGGTTGGGTCGGATTGGGCGGTTTGGGTATGATTTTGCCACCCCTACCCATACAGAACAAAATTGAAGCATGAAACTTGAGCAATGGCAATAGGTCCATCACACTACCTACAAAGTATTTCGTAACAAGTAAAAAACCGAATTTATTTCTAGCTACCTTCCCCAACTTCCTCACCAAACAAGTCAAACGCATCGCCATTTAGCAAAAAGAGATTGTTCAATATGGTAACAAGCATACACGACCAAAACCCATATGAGAGGACACAAATTCTTAGGGAGAGCACCTTAAGACAGTAATTTAACCCCTCCCCCTTACCCACTACTTCCATCAATCACCAGAGTTCTAGTACACAACTACATTGGAACCCTAACAGACAACAAATCATGCCCGCATATAGTAATGAAAATACCCATTACCTCACCTAAGATGTGGTGGCACTAAACCAACTAGGACCTCAGAATCACAAGTCCCAATTCCCCCTCTAAATGCCATTGGGAAGTTCTTATGTAACTTCTATAAACTAATTGCAAAAATGTAGATGATGAAGAGGGTGGGTATACACGCATCCAGACACTTAAAGATGGAGTCAAAGAAGGTTATGTTTGATAAATTAACATCATCTCACAGGAATCGATCAAATCTCCAAATTGATAATGTGCACACATCTCGATGAAAAAGAAACCAGATTGGTGCATATCAGAGGAGACGCGGTACAACATAAACACACAGCTTAAGCTCCTTCAGAAGGCACATGCAGAGGGATCCAATTAAACACATCAAAGCAAACCATCAACACCAAAAAGCAGGATCAGTTTGATAAGCAATCAGCTAACAGCAACAACAGATCTACAAATATCAGCTACAACTTCACAAGTATAAGCATGAAGTCATGCACTGTATAGGTGTGTGCTATGTACTTGAACACTTTCAAGACCATAAAGCAAATAAAGACACTAGAACAAAGTATTTACTGATTGGGAAATTTAATATTATTTGTCCATTTTAAGATGAATAAAAAATCAAGTCAGTAAGATGTTTATGGTCAAACCACTACCCTTGGAACTCATTGAGATTTGATCTTATATTGAAATCTCTACTCGGCATAACAAATCTCGACCTGGAATCAACTTCAACTGCTACACTTAGACATGTGGATTCCTTTCATCTTTAAGATGATCACAGCTAACACCTTCTCAGGGAAGAATATGAAGTTAAGACAAAAACGAAATGACTGTCAGGCCAAAGGCATAAACCTAGTGCGACTTCAGTAATTCAGGAGATTCTTATCCTTACCGATCATGAGCATCCTGAACATTTGTATAGAAAATGTAATTTGTCACCAGCAACAAAAATACAACAGCAAAGCTAAAACAGCACCAACAGCTGCTGCATCTGCTTGCATTCAACCAACAAACAGTAGTATGTCACCAGCAACAAATTATAAGCAGCCAAGTTAAAACAGCATCTACAGCTGCTGCATCTCCTTGCCATTCAGCGAAGAAACAGTAGTTTGTGAACGGCAACAAAAATACAACCAACAGCAAATATAACAGCATCAACAGCTGCTGCATCGTCTTGTGATTCAGCCACATTGACTTTTCACGGACCCAACTATAGAAGGCCAATAATTCCCATCATAAGTAAATTACAAACAAGGTATACCATCACAATATACCATGCAAGTATATTTTGAATCAGAAAAGCAATAAGAAACAAAAAAAGCCAGAAAGAAAATCCACAGAAGTGTAATTATAAACCAACAGTAGAAATCTTAATATCACAACACCATTCCATAATACCAGAATGCAGAGGTAACATCAAAAGAAGTTCTGGTTAAGTACAACAAAAAGAAGTTAAACCTTATAAATAAGTCTGGCCAACCAGTTCTAGCAAGCAGAATACAGATGAAAGGATCATTCACTTGGGAATGTCCTGATACGCAGCATCGACCAAAGCTAGATTACAACTGTGGCCTCCTCCCTTGCTCCTTAATCCTGCAAAATAAAATAATGTTTTTTCATCAAGTTTATACTACAAAAAAACAGCATATGACAGCCACAACTTACATCAGCATCAGAACGTGGCAAGGGGCTGCGGGAACCAGCACGTCTACCCCGCGGTGATATACTCTTTGGAGTTGGAGACCGGTCCTTGTGATTACGTCCATCTGGACTAGCATCCCTAGGAGGAGTTGTTCTTCGTGGAGAAGGGCTCCTTCTTGGACTGGGGCTACGGCGAGCAGGGGAGGCACTTCTATATAAAATGAAAAGTTAACAGCTTATAAAAATAGTTCTCCATGGGGGAAGAGAGATGAGAAGCAGAATATTAATAAGAAAAGGTCTACCTTCCATGAGACCGACTTCGGCTGCGCCTGTCCTCATCATATTTACCTCTCCCACGACCTTTGTGGTAATCAGGGCTGCGGCTTCTGCTCCGATGACGGTTATCTCTGTCTCTTCCACGGTACTGATCACGGTCATACCTTCCCTTACTTCTACTTCTACTTCTACTTCGGCTTCTCCTTCTAGAATCCTTGTCCCTATGTTCACGATGCCTAAGATAAACAAACAAAAAAGGGTGAAGATCAGATTGTGGATACAAGTCTTCAACCTCTCTTAGCTAAAAAGCAAAATGGCAATCATTCAACTCAAGTACCACACAAAAGGGGAAGCAAGATTATGTGCATACTTCCACCTTGTTTTGGAGAGGAACTGGTTATAGAAGAAGAATATAAACAAAGGGATGACAAGGAAGATTATTCATTTTAAAACCCGTATCCATTCTAATCCAAAATATGCTTATCCACAAAAGCTCAAACATTTATGCCTTGATGGGATCACCACATTCCACACGCACAAAAAGCTTTGAAGTTATAGCTTGTTCTGCACACAATCCCAAGCCCGAAAACTGATATTAGTATCCAGTCGGGCAGTAGATGATGATGCTAGACATATAAAGGCACCTCCATCTAATCAAACTGAAACATGTTCGTGAACCTACTCCGTTGTTTTGAAATGTTGGCAATCTAAATTGCTTTAACTACATAAAAAACAAATGTTTTCATCCATTTAATCACTGAAGTCAGGAAACAAGTAAAATCACAACATTATTGCTATCATAAACATTAATGGCTCAAAGTAAGTTAACAATGTTACTGATTTCCCTAATTCCTCCTCACTCAGTCTACCACATTGAGATGGTTGCTACACACTGCAGAGGAACTGAAAGCTTCACCAAATAACGTCAGTGTCAACTCAATCAATCAATTCAGAGGAAAAATCTTAGCCAAAAAAAAAAGCTTAACAAATCTGCCAATTTATTAAGGGCAAGTTCCATTACAACAGCTGATGAAGAAAGATAGTTTACTAAGTAGGTGTTTGGCCATGAAAAATAAATATTATTCACTTTATTTGAATTTTTAAAGTTGGAGTCGTGTTTGACCATACTTTTTACAAAGAATATTCGAATTTGGATACACTTTTTCTAAATATGAATTAGAGCCTGTTTGGATTGGCTTATTTTAAGTGCTTTTTGAAGCCAAAATAGCTTTGAAGCACCTTTGGAGTGTTTGGATAACTTCAAAAAATGCTTATAAGCACTTGGTTTTAAGCTAAAATGATAAAATAAGCCACTTACAAGTCAAAAGATAATCCATACAGGCTCTAAATTAGTTATTTTACTCGTAATTTGATCATTAGTATAATACTGAATTCATGTATGCCATATTATGCTTTTTCATAGAGTACGTGCTTCAAAGAAAAATAAAATCTTGTATATGGACCCACTCAACAAATATTTGTGTAAATTTCCCACTTCACAAGCAAGATGCAAATAGTTCCAATATTGTCTTCTTTTTTCCAGTTTTCCAGCGCAAAAGATGAAAAACTACCGCACCACCGTTAACTTTTATAAAATAAGAATGTGAAATTCTTATCATCGGGTACATGCAAATCAATACTTAGGGTGACAATAGAAGCAAAGGGTGTTTTAACCCAATTAGGGCGAGTACAGAAACAAGCATTTTCTTGATCAGTTACTCCTATCTAGCTGATTGAGAGGGAGAGGGCACCTAGAAGGGACATCTCTCTTTTCCAGGCTCCAAAGTTCATTATATGATAATTAATTTTTTACTTCTACAACTTGAATGAATAGAATTTGAGAATTGGTGACATGGACAGTTGTGAAGTTATGTGTGTGTGTAAATATTAAAAAATCAAATTTATTACAAGATCATGTCTTAAATTCCCTATCTTCTTTTATGACCATGCAAAGCACGGGTAAATTGATTAGTGAACAAACAAATTGTGTGCTTTAAAAGAAGCGGTGCACTTCACTTCTTTTCACTCATAAAAACATCACCGTTGATGTAGAAAGGATGTCTGATAAAAAATTCACATGAATTTCCCTATAGGAAATATCCCCAATGTTTGATGATGACAAAATCAACAAAGATATTACCAAGATTACACTAAAACAAACAATTATATTCTAATGGAAATCTCAATATCCATGATAACACTTTAAGTGGCATAATTAAATTAAGCTCTTACCTTGGTCTAGGACTGCGGCTTCTTGACCTCCCTTTTGTCCTTTGTACAGGCTCCAAAATTCTACCTTTGTCACTGATCACAAAAACAATCCTAGTCTATCAGACATGGTTTTACTCCCACAAACAAAAGGTTCGTACAACTTAGTTTATAGGATAAAGATGCACCTAAAAATACATGTTAGTTTATAGGATAGAGATGCACCTAAAAATACACGAATGAAAATCACAACTTTAAACAAGGAAATCTCCACAACTTAATGAATACTTGCATCAAACAAAACTTACATTCTCTCAGCATTTGGGCCGTACTTCGCAAATCGAACCATGATTTCCCGACCATCTACAACTCTTCCTGTAACCAAATATCAGTGTGAACAACAGCAACATAGGCTACCATCCAAATATTAGTGTGATCACTTACCATCAAGCTTTTCCACTGCCTTTTGAGCCTCATCCTGATACTTGTAGCGCACAAATGCAAAACCCCTAGAATCTCCAGTCCTAAAGCACCAAATAAACATTGTACCCGTCAAAGACTAGAGATATGGCTACATCTTTGTCTATTTCCACATCAAGATAACACCAAGACATCATAAATACATCTCAGTTCATAAGTAATGTAAGATAATCAGAAGTAACACTTGAAAAGGAGAAATCATTTCCTTCCCACTCCATTTCTTTATATAATGGTAACGAATACCTGCATCCTTCCACCTAACAGTGCAGGTACCGACTAAAGCCGCTCATCAAGGGGAAGGCAAGTAGGAAGAAATAACACAACTTAAAATAATAATTTGAATTATGTATTATATTACAACAACATAACAAGTATTATCCCACAAGTAGAGTCTAGAGAGACTAGGATATACGCAGACCTTACCCCTACCTTTGTGCGGTAAGGAGGCTGTTTTCAAGAATTATGCATTATATTAATGGTCATCAAATAGTATATCAGGATAATGTTTGAAAAGTCTGTTTGATAGAGAATATATCAAATGAATTTATATTTTCAAAAGTTGCAACACATACAAAACTCAGACTCGTCAAAGTTATAAGTAAATTACATGGTGATATTATTAGTTTAATGATGTCGAACAATTTAGATCGTCCTGGAATAAAACGTGTCATATAGGCATCAAATAACGAAGTTGGTGGAGAAAAAGTAACACAGTAATCAAAAAAAAAAAAAATCACAAATACACTTATGCAAACAATAAGTGTACTGAAAAAGCCAAATAGACTTCCGTAAACACGGCCAAATATACAGTACTAATACTATAACAGTACTTAGCTTCAGCAAAAAAAAAAGAGGTATGAGAGAAAAGAACCTTCGGTCTCTAGGGATAAAGACATCGACTACTTTTCCATACTTATCGAATAGAGGAAACAAGTCATCAGCAGTGGTACCTGTACAGGGAAACAGTAATGGACTATCAGATTCAACAACTTTGCTAGAAAAGAAGAAAAAAATTGCTAAAAATAGGGAAAGAGAACAGATAATTACGAAAAGTAACGTTGAGAACGAGCAGAGAGTAGGTGTCTTTGATGTCCGGAGGGCCTGATCTACCGAAGTGAGACATCGCCGTTCGCCGGAGTGAAGACTGATAAGGTTGATGAATGGTTAGGGTTTGAGCTATATGGATGCTTGTAGAAGGAAGCCAATGTTGTATATTTGGTACTTTATACCAAATTGCCCTCGATATATTTGAAAAGGTTCAGTTTATGCCTCCCATTTGGAGAAAATGATAATAATAGTCCCTTATGTTTTTGGATTGATCTAAATCTGTCTTTGAAATATAAATATGAGCAGTTTTAGTCCTTTAACTAGTGTATCAAAGCATTGTTTAGCCTCTGCTATATTTACATAAAAAATTATTACTAAAATATAATGATAGATATTTTTACCACATTGATTCTTAACTCTTGAAATTACCAATTAATGAATTAGGTTTCTTAGGACCTGTTTGGTCATACGATATGGTATCATGAGATGAAATTAAAGGTTTGTTTGGACATGCGATATGGAATTTTTGTGTTGTATATTTTCTCATCAACATAAAAATTCCACAAGTTGTAAAACTATTAAAATAGCCCAATTGTTTATTCAATCTTATCAAATAAACAAAAAATTATAAAATCGCATAATAAATTATTACAAAGTTATTTGTTCTTCACTTAAGTAATTGTTTCATCTAAAAAATTGAACATAAATTGTACTTGATATGCTCATATCTCTCAACTACTCTTACAAATAACCTATAAAGTAGAAAAAAAACATACATTAGTGAGTAAATATTAACTTAGAAGTTAAATACACTAAGATAAAAATTAACAAACATCACTGACTTCTAACTATTTACAAGAAAAATCAATAGTTAAATATTATTGAATAACGAAATTTTAAAAAGTTACCACAAGTTTGAGTCAAAAACACTTCTAATAAAATTTAATCAAAAAAATTATAACTAGTCCACTTGACTAAATATTAATAACTAATTGATCAAATTTTCCCAAGTCCTCAATCAATTGGACTTGATATTCTTCAGTCATGTGAACGAACATTTTGCGAATACTAAAATTAAGAAAGTGCGGCACCGCCAATGAAAATTGTCTTTTATCAATATTATGCTTAGTCATAAGATTAAGACGTTTTTTTTATTATGAAAAATCAAAAAAGTATTACTCCCTTTGTTCTCATTTATATTCACCAAATGAATTTCTACTTTATCATTTATATTCACCAAATTTAAAGTAATAATAAATTTTATATTTGTGAGAATAATAAATTTTAAAAAGTAATGATGTGATTATAAATTTTATTTGCATATGAAACAAATGGTTAGTAGATATAAATGTAGGGTTGTTTTAACAAAATATAAACTCATGGATCAATTATTGTATTAAAATATCTCAAATCATGATATAGAATCACCATATAATTCCATATCATGGTTTTTGGAGAATATGGTATCACCTTTCATGATATGGAATCATGAGATGGAATCAGCGTAAAATCGCATATCCAAACGCTAATTCCATCTCACAACACCATAGCGTGATATGGTATCGCATGGCCAAACGTCTGCTTAGAAAGAGGAAAAAGATGAATAGCGAAATTGTGTTTCTTGATTATTGAGATTTTGTACTTCTAATGGCATCAATAATTTAATAATACATGATTATGCCCTTTAACTTAGCTTTATTTTATATTTTTGCCCCCAATTTTGGGTGTGCACAATTAGATAGTTAAACTTGTATAAATAAATAGATACATTAGTCTTATTGGCACAATACATATGGGACACAAATTGTTATGTAGAATGTCACGTAGGACGTATGTGTCTATTAGTTCAAATTTATACAAGTTTAAGTGTCTAATTGTGCACACCCAAAATTAGAGACATAAATGTGAAATAATGTCAAGTTAAAAGGCAAATGAGATGAATTATTGCCGCAAAAGAGAGAGATTTGGGCATTTGGTCATGGGATGAATTATTGTCGCAAAAAATGTTTAGTGTCGATTGAGTTAACCCAGAGTCATTAAAGCCTTTAGCAACATTTATAGAGTGTTGGTTATTAATATCAATATTATATTTATATCGCTAAAAAATTATGTAAAATCCTTCGTTTCTTGTTCTTTCCCCATCACTTTTACATGTCATATTAAGATTTGACACCCTTATTAGAAAAACAATTATTGACATGACTATTTTACCATACTACTCCTATTGATTGACGTTTAATAATAGGTCTCAAAAATAATTTGGGTAATAAGCAATTAATATGAAGAGTAAAACGGTCACGCCCCGAGCCTACACCCTGGACGTAGCCGGCACTCGGAGACCATCGATGGCCCTAAGCGGACCCTTGGCATGGCTTACTTAACTCAGCGGAAGACTTAACTCAACAGAATAAACTCAATGCAATAGTTTAAATGATAACATCTTAGCCAAACTGGCAACCTATGTCTCAAAACAAAGTATCTGCAAATTCATAAATGAGAGACTCAATACTAACTGTCTGACTGTCTATGAAGCTTCTATAATACTGAGATGGATGTTGGGACAGACCCCACAACATCCTAATAAAGAAAACTAGGAAAGCGAAATAAAGGAGTCCTCCAGAATGCAAGGAGGCTCACCACTGACTCTAGAGTGCTCAACTGGATCAACGGCGCGCTGGATGTTAATCCTGGTTACCTATGTCTGCATCATAATAAGATGCAGGCCAACTGGCATCAGTACATTGAATGTACGAGTATGCGAGTTGGAATGCTAAACAACAACTTACGCTTGAAAGGAGTATGAAGGAACACTTACCTTGGCTCTGTTTAACTCATGGATAACTGAACTCAATATAAAGCAATAAGACACATGCAATATATAAAAAAAAAAGCTTGTAAAACAATGTAAACAACTTAGTTCGTTAAAGATAAAGCAATAACAAACTCAACTTTACTTGTATATAAAAGTAATATAACTTTTGTGGGAAATTCTCTAACCGACAACCTCCCCTATGAGCCTAAGTGGTGATACAACGTCTTGCCCACGCTGCCAGAACTGTCCTATACTTTGCCGTCATATAGAACGCTTAACTTAGTGGATCCACTACTCTATGCTAAAAGCATCTTAATGAGTCATTTAAAAAGTATGATCATTTACTACCCATGATGGTTACATGGTTCATGAAGACTTGAGTTAATATGAACTCGCATCCCCATATCGGTGCTCAATACTACTCCTAAAATATACTTAGGTCATATGTTTGTAAAAACAAAACTCTTTCTTTGAATTGAGATAATTACTCAAAACTTTGCTTAAAAGCTCTCTTGGAATCGATGTTTCCTTTTCTTGTTCAAATGAGAAAACATTTATAAACTCTTTGGGAATACTTAGTTCCCTAATAGCTTTTCATGAGAAATGAATTCAACTCTTACTCTTTGCTTTACTTGAAACTTGAGCCTTAAAATGAAGTTAAAACTTCTAATAAAGACTCTTGAAAACTTTAAGAAACTTTACTTTGACTTGCTTCTTAACTTCTAGACTTGATTCTTAACTTCTTTGACTTTGATCTTAACTTTCCTTGAATTGCATTATGGATTCAAGATTCATGATCTCATGTTTAAGGATGATTTCATGATGTTTAGATGTACCTTAGAGTGTTAGAATCGACTAGGAAACATAGGTACATCACTTAGGAATTAGTATGAAAAAGTGGGAAACGAATGGGGAGAACTGGCGTCCCTGGCGCTCTGAGAGGTGCCCCGCGCCAGCCCTCAAACTTCAGCGGGCTCTGGCTAGCGCAACGCGCCAGAGGCCAAAGTTCAGAGGAACTTTTGTGGCGCTCTGGCAGGCACGACGCCCCAAGCCCTTGCCCAGAAAATCCTCGATTTTCTTCTTCGTTTTTCATCTCTAAACCCTCCAATCTTCCCTAGTTCTTTCCCCAAACACTTAGGATCAATTGTACTCTCAATACACCATCAAACTAACTCGAAAAACAGCCCGGAAACATGAATCAAATCAACCCCCAAGCATTAACAATTCAACCAACAAGAATTCTACAATTTGTTCTTCAAGAACCTCACTTTTCAACACGTAAACAACTCTAAACCAAAGGATTGAAACAAGTTGGTGTGTGGGTGAACTAACCCAACACAGAAACATCGCACATACCTTAATAGGGATCACTCCCGACGAATTTCACTCGCAAACTTGACTGAATCTTGGCTTTTTTCCCTTTCTTTCTTCCTTGCTCTTTTCTCCAAGCCCTAAGCGTGAATATAATTTTTCTAATCTGACCAAAATAAGCTTTTACCTCAATAAATCCCTAAAAACGAATTAGGAAATTAATTAGAGAAAAGACTACTTTGCCCTTCCTAAAATCCGGATTGAGCCTTTCCTCAATCCAACAGCCCAACTTCCAAAAGGCATATCTCACTCATACAATGTCAGAATTTCGCAAACTCGGCGGCGTTGGAAAGATCTCTCCAAGGGCTTTCCAACCATATCAAGATATGATCCTAACTCCTCCTGAGATAGGAGTTATGTCCATTTGAAAATGGTCAAAACTCACTTTCTTAACTTAGACAAAAATTCCAGATTTCCTTATTCTTTCCAAAAATCAATATTTTCATATTTTAATCTCTTTATAGTCATTTCTAGGTGCAAGATGTTACAAAAACATGGAAAAATAATTGTTTTTTCTTACTATGTTAAAAGCAGTGTGTTAAAAGGTGGAAGTGTGAGGCGAGACGTTTTATACAGTATGGGGAGAAGCATAAGCCCCGAGACAAGGGGCATAAGTATCATGGATCTACTAAGTGTACATCTCATGTATATTAAATTTCATAATTTTATTACTAAGAAAATAAGTAGAAAGTAAAACGTTCAATGATTTTACAAATAAATTTTAATAAATAACTAATAATACAAAACAAATATTATAATTATTATTTGAGAAAGGTATTTAATAACCAATAATTTAGAAAAAAATTTGGCTTAAGTCATCCACGGCCCTTAAAGTTGTCCGCATATTTCATTTAGACATCTTAACTAGGACTATTATCTATTAAACACTTAAATTGTTCAAAAAATTACCTATTAAACACAAAATACTGATATGACAAAAGAAGTGTTTGTCACTTCCTTTGGGCGCGTG